AAATCGCGAGCAATTAGCAAACTAGATCACCGGAGTCTCATGCCTTAACCATAACGGGATGATAATCAATCGACATACGGAATAAACGAGCTACGAGCATTATATTGCTAACCCTAGTCGTCTAACCGAGATCAACGAGCAATTAACGACTCTATCTACTCAAGCAAGCAAGAAAATTCAAGCATAAGCATTTCCTCCATCATCAATCAAATCCAAATTTACCCTAATAAGCATTATAAGTAAAAACGGAGCAAAAAAACCGAAGTAAAGAGCTTTAAAACTAAATACTCATTCTTCCATTGCGTAGACGATGAAAAACAGAGTCAAAAGCTCGAAACTTGAAGAAAACCGAAGTCGCCGGAAAATCTCCCAGAAAATGACATAAGCTCCTAATCTAGAGAGCAAAATAGAACATGAGCTAATTTCCCAAAGTGGGAAAAGTGAAAAAATGAGAGTTTGATCCCCAAAAACCAAAGGAAAAAACATATATATAGTGTATCTCCAAAAACACACACTAGGAGCACACACATTTAATGATTCAGCAGTTCGCAGGTGGCCAAAATAGGTTCGCAGCGAGTTTTGGAGTAAAAATCAACTAAAAGGTGCATTTCGCAGCTTGCCAAATGAAGTTCGCTGCGAGTGATGGGCAGCTCACACTTGGCGTTTCGCAGCACGCGAAAGATGGTTCGCAGCGAGTGCTTGTTGCGCGCCTTGCCGCTTCGCCGCTTGCGAATGAAGACTCGCCAGTGAGTGCGCCCATGGAAGAGTACTGCGCGATGGCCGCTTCGCCGATCGCCAATGCCCGTTCGCTGGCGAGTGTTGAGCTGGGGACATTGGGCATTTGGCGGGTCGCGAAGTGCTGTTCGCACGCGAGTGCGGGGCTTAGGTGTTGTGCGTGCACCCGTTTCGCAGGACGCGAGTTCCGGTTGGCCGCGAGTTTGGGCTAAGGGTGATTGTCTTCGGGTTAGGCTAGTGGTTCGATCGAGTGGTTCGGGTAGCTTAATGTTGATCCGGGTGGCTCGTTAATTGCTCGAAAATGGCGCGAACGAATCTTCTTCCCAAAGTTACAATTTGGACCTAAACAAAACACCAAAAGAGATGCGAAAATATAAAATAATACAAGAACACGTAATAAAACTAGAAACACATAAAACACGACAAAATAGACCGGTTGACACTCAAACGAACCTAAAAATGACTCGACTCAAGCACATAAAACACATTAAAATACCACAAAAACATAACAAACATATAGCATAGACACTGTGCCACTCAACTTTGTCATATCCTTTCAACATGTCAAGTTTCAAGGCCATAAAGCAATTGTTTCCAGGTCTATATCTATTAAATTAATGAAAGACTTATTGAGATATATAATGACATTATCAAGTAACATCCTCCCTGGTATAAAATCATCCTGAGACTCACTGACACAAGAATCCAATCACTTCATCAAATTTTAAAGCCAGGCTTTTTGAAATAATCTTATGAACAACTCCACACAAACTAATTAGTCGGAACCGACTTAGGGACATAGGGTTAAGGCATTTAGGAATAAAGGTAATCATAGTTTGGTTCAAATACCTTTACAGCTGACCCGAGTAAAAAAAAATAAAAATTTAACTGTAGTGCATAAATCATATGCTGAATAACAGGCAATAAATGTTGGTAAAAAAGTGCAGTCATACCGTCCTCCCCAAGGGCTTTGCAAAGATTCAAACTGAAAAAGGATTGCTCAATTTCAGCTACCTCAACCTCAGCTATCAGCTCCTCATTCATGGTTGTGCTTATGGATTGAGGAATTAGTCTGAGACTCTCCTCATCCCCCTAGCTTCCTTCAGAAGTTTACAGTTTCTGGTAAAATCATCCACATGTGCCTCCAATTCCTCTATAGAATTAAGTTATCATCAGTAATGAGTCTTGTTATAGCATTAGTTCTTCTCCTCTGCAGAGTGTAAGCATGGAAGAACTTGGTATTTCTGTCTCTCTCCTACAGCAAATCCGCTCTACCCTTCTGTTGTCAGTATTGCTCTTCTAAAGTTTGAGACTGCTCCAACTCTTTTTGTAGTCTATTCCATTCTTGCCAGTTTCTGTCCCCTCCTGCCAGTCTCATTTCCTCTATAGAGAGAGTAAGCTCCCTTATTTTGTTTATGTTCTTAAGTCTAAAAATCCTGATCCAGATTCAAAGCCATTTTTTTTTTTCTCTTTATAAGGCTGAACATGGGAGTACCCTGCTGATCTGCAGTCCAAGCCTTTTGCATCACCTCCTGCACACCATCTTTTTTTAGCAATCTTTTATCAAATCTAAATTCTTTTTCTTCCTATCACCACCTCCTTCTCATGTCACTAATTAGTCAGAAGCACTTTTGAACACATTTATGACAGAGGAGTTGGGGTGACTAGCCATCCTTTTAAAAAAGCAAAAGACATTGTATAATTTTTCCTCCACAAAACCTTCTTGGTCCATATTATTGGCCCATGTGCACTGATGACCTACCATGGGAAGTTCCACCATGCCCATATCTGTGATAAAATTGTTGAACCCCACAAAACTGTGTTGAGACATCTGATATCATTCCAGTCCCCCATGATTAGCTATTTATCTCCCACCACTTGTGGTCGACGGGAAGGTCAGGATCACTTTCATAGCTAACTGGGTACTCGGGGATTCCTTCCTCGATAGCCCTCCGATTGAGGACCCATGAAATGTTTGGAGCCTTAATCTGTGCCTCAGCTTGATCCATAGCATAAGTGAGGAATTCATATACAGCTAGACCAAGTTTCACAAGGAAGAATTCTTCGACTACATGCTCCCTGAAGGCTTCCAAAAAGGTACTCCCCATCCAACTGGTGAGAAAGTATTGGACTGTGTTGGATGCAACCTGCACCTCTTCATTCTTATGTTTGTCTTTCTCTTCAAGAGCATCCTCGTGCTCCGCAGAGACCTTGGCAAGCACTATATTCATATTGAAGTTATTCCTGGTGAGCTGATCACTTTTTCATCTCCTTGAGGTGGGAGAGTGGTCCAACTACTCGTCGAGCAAGATAATCAAGGCTGATTGGAGCTGCAAAACAAAAACAAGATGATAAGATGTATAGAAAACTAATATAAAGAATGACCAAGAAGAAGAGCATACCTGAACGACCTCTTGTTGAGGTTGATGGATTCATCCCCTTACTGGTTGATGAGGTCGACTTCACCGATTGAAAAACACTTTCTACACACAAACTAATTGTTTGTTTTGTGCTGACCGAGGATGAGGCGAAACCCGAGGCAGTTCAATTAAATATGTATTAATTACGTTATAAAAAAAAAAAGTAAATTGAATAAATAAATAATATTTACTAAATTTTTTCATACTCTTCTTTTTACATTATGTTATTTATTTTAAATAAATTTACCTAATTCTATTTTATTTGTTTTTAATCTATTGTTCATTTAAATATTATTTTTATTATTGCAATTATATTTATAATTTTAGATATATATTCATTACAAACTAAAAATAAATATAATCAATAAATAGTAATATCTTATTTTATTTTATTTTTTAATTTATATAATTTATTTAATTCTATTTTATTATACTATTCATTATTTACAATAGTTTGTACAAAATGCATTATATTAATATGGTATATAATATATAACAAAATATATAACATCGAATTCAATAAAACATATATTTAAATTTAAATATATTTATTTATTTAGTAAATATTTATTTAATATATAACTAAAATTTAATTAAAATTAAATACGGTAAATCAACATAAAAACAACATAAAATGATAAAAGTTGAATAAAATAAGGTAATAAAATAATATAATATTACATATTTATTTATTTATTTATAGATATTTGTTTCGTAATTATTACATATTTAATATATAAATAATGTATAAGTTTTATAATTAAAATTGACATAAATTGAATTATCATTATTTTTTTTTATTTTTTTGGATAAAATTATATTGATTGATATATAATTGAGTTCAAGTATTTCACGTAAGATGTTGTAGATCAAGTGGCTAATGCCCCTCTTTTGTTCTAAGAGATCCAGTGTTTGAATCTAAAATTTGGTCATTTTTTTATTATTCCACCACCTAATTGTCACGTTAGCAAAAAAAAAAAAATGAAATTACACGTAGGCAGTAATTCTTCCACCTATCTGTCACCTTAGTGAAGAAAAAATTAAATAAAATTTACATGTTGGCGGGCCGGTCACGATGAACTACTACAGGCGGTCGTATGACCAAAAAGTTATTTTTTTTTTCACCTAGAGAACTATTTTAATAAATGGACTTTTAGTGGGACAAAAAAAAGGTCAGTTAAGCTAAAAAACTTTCTTTGCCTAATATTTCGTCAAGGAGAATTACAAACCAAAAGGAAAAAACCAAAAAGTGTCAAATTAAGTAAAAATATTAAAAATGTGGACAATTGTCTTTATACCCTTAAGTGCTATGCGCACTAAATACACGCACATATAGTAAACAACTCGAGGTTTTGGCGAAATTGGCTTTAGGACTCACGAGCCACGCGAGTGCTTGCTAAGCAAAGAACTCCATTCATTGGGGATAAGAAGATGAAAAAAAACTTACTACCTTCATTGTGGGGGATAAGAAGATAAGAACTGTATATGATACTTTTTATTTAGGTATTATGATTATTTATAAAAAAAAAAAAAAAAAAAAAAAAAAAAAAAAAAAAAAAAAAAAAAAAAAAACCATGATGTCAGTATACAAATATGATACTATATATACATATATGTATTGTTTTAAAAAAAATAAATTCTTACTATAAATAACATTAAAAAAAATGAGCTGAAGCAGTGATTATGCAAGCCACCTTGAGCTACTTATATGATTTGAACACTCTTTTTAAGCTTTGATTGATAATGAGTTAGACTAAATAACTTTTAATTCGAATAATGTCAGTCCAATTCTAATTTATTTTGGTTTACCATCGATACTATGGAGATTCAAATCCTTTTGGCTCAATGGAGAAGGCCATGGAAAATGATACAATTCGTGGATATCTTAACTTAGCTCAAGCTTTAGCCGATTATGCCGAAATTTTGTTACACATCAAGAAATCTTTATCAGCAGAATATTCGCCAATTATTGTCGTTGGAGGTTCATATGGAGGAAGTAAGTAATTTGATACAATTGTTTTTTTCAAAAATGATAATATAGAGGAAATTATACATATATTGTATTTATTTCAAAAGTAGAGTTAATCGACAATTTCGAAATATCCTTCATTTTAGTGTTAGCTTCGTGGTTTCGGTTAAAGTATCCACACATTGCTGTTGGTGCTCTGGCCTCCTCAGCCCCAATTCTTTACTTCGACAATATCACTCCGCAAGATGGATTCTATTCCATTGTGACCAAAGACTTCAAGGTACCTACTTATTCATTTATTTTTATATTAAAATTTTTGTTCCATATATTGTTTGAATCTAAAGTTTATTTGATGATTTTCTAAAAAAAATATAATTTTTTCGTTTAAATTTGTAGGAGGTTAGTGAGAATTGTTATCGTACCATAAAAAAATCATGGGCAGAAATTGACAGAGTAGCATCACAACACAACGGCCTCGCCATTCTCAGTCGAAGATTCAATACTTGCACGTAATATTAGATAATGATATACTTAAATTTATTAGGCTTCTAACTTCAAATGAATCTCCTCTTTTCCTACTTTATATATATATATATATATATATATATATATGTGTTATACAATTAACCATTTCTATGTTAGATCAATATATATGCATCATTTACATAAGTACGTCAAATTAGTGAACCATTTGTGATACTTTTCTAATTTCCTACTGACTGTTTAACTAAAATTAGTGTGTTTCGTTGATTGCAGCCCGCTGAGCCACTCATATGAACTAAAGGACTTCTTGAGTAATACGTACACAGGTGCAGCTCAATATGATGCACCACCAGATTATCCAGTATCAATGATTTGTGAAGGGATTGATAAAGCTTCTTCTAAGAAAACTGATACACTTGGCCGTATTTTTGCTGGCATTGTCTCTTATTTAAGAAATCATACATGCGTGGGTACAAATAACTACAATATTCCATTAGAGACTCAACTTGGATGGGCATGGCAAGTAAGTTGTTCATTTCTTCTTGTTTATTGGATGACATAATTTTATTTTTAGTCAACTGTATTGGCCACTTTCCAACAAAGGTTCATCTTTTCGACGAACATTAAACTTAGGGTATTAATTTGAAAAATTCATCAAAAAGTTACACTAATCATTAATGGTAGGATAAAACTTGTTGTTTTCTTTTAGCCCTAATTTGAACGTAGGCCGATGTACATTTCAAATGGGTAACCCATGGTTGGATTATGCTCATCGAGACAGTCGTACCAATAAATTTTTTTCTCAATACAATTTCTTTTGCTCACTCAATTTTCAATTCGAATAAATTTAGGTTATCTTTTATCTGATATAATTCCGACACCATCTACGATATGGTTTAGATGGATGACCCACTATCGAATTCTTCTTGTTGAACCAGTCGTACCCACCAAATTTGATCTCAATTTGAGCTCGTTTACCTGCTCAGTTTGTCATCCAAAATAATTTTACCCCAAATTCATTGTTCTCTATCTAGGGACCATTTTGGTGCCTTATATATAGAGTTTGTGGTGAATCACCGTTGGATTTGCCTTATCGAAACGGTAGTAACCATAAATTTGTCGGTCAATTAGATTCCGTTTGCCAACCCAATTTTTCGTCTAAAATGATTTGAGTTAATATATTTTCGGTCTAATTTTAGTGTCGTCTCAAATGAGTCTTAAGTATGTAATCTACCGTTGAATTCTTCTCATCAAGGCGGTCGTATGCCAAAAATTTCAGACCAATTAGAGTTCGTTTGCTTGATCAATTACTCGTCTAAAATTATATGCAAAAACTATATATTTTTGGCCTGCAATTGGCCCGTGATTAGCCCGCGCCGAGCGCCATGATAAATTTTAATAATTCTACCTTTATCCACTTATTAATGATTAAATTACCTTATTTAATGAACTTTTTAGATTAATATACTGAATATGATTTCTACCAAGAAGATGGATTTTTGTTGAAACGAGACCAACACAACGGAGTAAAATGACAAATTATGCCTTGTTTGGACATATGGAAGAGACAATAAATGGGTTTACCTATCATCAAAAGTAAAAGGACAAAGGAGAAGAAATTTATATTGAAATTCATCTCCATGCGTCGTAGATGACGATTTCAATATATAATCATGAACTAGTCTGCTCAATCAATCATTTACACAACTTTTAACTCAAAATTTAACTAATCCCAACTTTTCTCGCTAATATCAATATAATCGAATAATATTAATCAATAATACTTGCATATCACATCAATTTTAAATTAATATTCGTATGCTCGTATAATTTTAACTACATACTGCTTTCAATAATCCCTCTCATATTTTTACATTATATCGAATTTAATCATTACATTTTATATATTCATTCACTCAATCAACATTATCAAAAATAACACACTTTATCTCTTTTAAGAGTTATAAACATTGTTTTTTGTGGCT